AAGTAGGTCAGAGAAATTCAAATTACTTAGACAAATTTGTAAAAATTGTTCTCTTTATGAACATTAGACTGTTTTGAATGGAAGATATACCAAGAAAATATATCTTTATGCCACACCTCCCTGATAGGAAGGGAATTCAGGAGACTACAGGGTGAATGATAGTCAAAATATTCAACTTTCTACAAATTCAAAAGGGGACTTGAAGTAGAAATTAAAACTCTTTATTTCATGCTAGAAACACCTTCAGTAATTCTTGACCATCTAGCTAGAAGATCTTACTTTCACTTTAAAGTATCTAGTTTATTTATACCTACCTTTTAAACTTTTTCTTTTTATTTTAATCAAATAGTTCATATTCAGCTGTATGTGATTCCTGATATCAGATCCCACTGGCCTTTCTTTAAAAAGGAACAGAAAAGTTATTTAATATGTTAGGGAATAAAAAGAGAAAGAGATAGATGCTCTGCTGTTGAACTTTTATGGGCTTCTGAGAAAATGACAAGACTCAGTGACACAGAGATATACCCTCATTCTCTGCTCAGGTTCAATTAGCTGAAACTAATTACATTCTCTTCCCTAGAGTAATTTTGGAAGCAAACGGAAGAAAGGTAACTCTTCTTCAAAAGAGGAAACATTTAAAGTCTTGATGATATAAATGCCATTGAAAAGTTTTCTACCATTTTCCCCATCTCCACAAAGCAAAAAAATTTCAAGTTAAAAATGCAGGAATGTCCGCATAAGTTATTTAAGTTGCAGGTCATCCACATTTTCTGTGACACACTCCCTGAGCTGAACTCTACACCCAAAGCACAAGCAATTTGGGCTTTTGGGAAGCATAGTAATATTTGTTTTAATTACAACTTATTCCCATTTCCATCTTAATTCATTGCCCTCTATTAATAAACGTGTGGTGCATCAGCTCCTAAATGGAGTAACATTAAAAAACAAAACACACAAGAAAGAAAAAGTAGACAACCAAACAAAAAAACCACAACCATACATACTTTACTACAAATACGCTGCACGTAAGGCAAATTCAGTTTCTGACTTTGTTATCAGAGTCACAAAGTGAAGAGAAAAAGCATTTGTCCCAAGAAGAAAAAAGAGAAGGAACAGATGTAGCTCGCTCTTTGGCACAGTGTATAGCACTTGAGAGAGTCTGTAAAGAAAAGCCTGTAGCTCCCTTTTTACCACACCAAGACAAAATGTGCAAATAGGTATCATCCCTTCCTCATTTGGAGGCCAATAAAACAACTGTTAATGCATACAGTATTATAATATGTTTAACAGTAAAATGCAACCATTTGGCTTCCCCTAGCAACTGGATTTTTTGGACTTGTTGCCCAGAGATCTATGTAATTCCTCAGTTCAGTAGTATTAAGAGAAGCTTCATACTTTCTGAAATATCACTCTACTGCTCTGATTGAATAAATTTCATTCTCTCCCTCTCCACCCCCAACTAACATGAAACAGATGGAAAATACATTATAGTAGAAGCTCTCGTAGAATTATTTTCACCTTCAAATATCAATCACTGATCACAGAGTATTCCTTTTACATGCATAACATATCAAATGAACTCCACTGTGAGAAAAGTCCAAGTTAGACCCATTGGGAGTCCACTACAGTTACCGAGAAGTCCATTGGGCTTTGTGGCTGGGGCTTTTTTTGTTGGTTGTATGAGGGTTTTTTGTTTGGTTGGATGGGGTTTTTTCCCATAACAGATGCAACACATCGTGCCAAAAGAACTGAATATGTCTAAGTACCTTTCTGGTACTGCTGCGAAGTACCCTTCAAGATAATCCTTTAAAATGTGCAATTTCCACACCGAAACCTAGTGCTACACACCAGCAGATCTAAGATGAACACTGAGGAAAGAGTCTCCTTGCACATAAGCAAAACAGTCTGCAGCTGAAAGTTCAGAGGCTCACTTAGTTTCCTTCTGTTTCACACAGCTTTAAGATTTTGCTTTAAATTGCATTTGTGATCTCTCTGAAATTTGGCTCTCTTATGTATGTTTTAGACCACTGAGGTTGCAAGGATTGTTTGGCACTCGAATAGTGAGAAGTAATTGGTGTACATCCAAAAGGAAAAAAAATATGAACTCAGTTTGAAAGAGCAAGCAATGAAGAGGGAAGACAGGGAACCTGATTTTCCAGGTTATGTGTTTCACCAGTCAGGATTGTTTTCTTCCTTATCCTTCTCAGCACTACAAGTTACTTACATTCATTTAAAAAAAACAAAACAAAAAAAAAAAAAAAAAAACAACACAACAACAACAACAACAAAGAAAGAAATGCACCCAGTGCAGAGCTGTGTATAAATCAAAATTCAATTGTTTTAGTATCTGAACTCAATAAATTTCACAAACAGGAGAGGAGCTGTATGCAAAAAGGCTGTATGCAAAAGGAATACATAATTCTATCACAGACAGACAATCAAGCCAGCATAACACAAATGAAAATCCCTGCTGAGTTACAGGCTGAAGAGATATTTGGAACTACAATGTGGTCATCTACTCCTACCTTTACTGCAACACAGCCAGAGAAGGTATTATTCTGTATCTTTAAAAGACAATCCTATTGTGTTAAGTTAATTCAGCAGAGCTTTAGCAAGTGTGAGAGAAGAATCACAGATGTCTGCCCATCCTGACAGAGCACAATACTTTCTGCCCTGAGTAGTCCCAAAGAACTCACACAGCATGCCAGGTACAAAGTATTTGCAGAAGTGAGCCCTCAGACAGGGCTACAAAAGCTCTGGGTTAAGGATGTACATAGCAACTTGGTTCCACTTGATCTGTTACACAGCTTGACAGTAACAGATAGCCAGTTGCATTAGTGTCAATGTACAGATAAGTTTCTCTCAATATCTGTCACAAAAAACAGACGCAGTATCAGTGTGCCAGCTGCATTATCGGTCAACTACATAGTTGATCATACTTAATAACATCCTCAAGCCCAGACAGGACACACAGATAGCAATTACAAGCGTGTGCCACAGTCACCCAGATCGTTCTGACTTGGAGCTGCCGACTCAGCGCGCACTCGATGAGTGCCTGCCCACCACCTTTTCCCTCTCAAACACATTAGCTTGCCTCAATATGGGGCCAGAGTTTGTTTTGAAACTCTTAACAGGATCACTGAAAGAAAAGAGGAAAAATACCATAAATGATCCTCTGGACGGCTTCCAGAGTAGCGTGTTCTCCCAGTGATTGCTTTGGAAGCAAGCCAAAAATGGGAAATGTTCTTGCAAATGAGCACGCCACCAGGCTCAAGTACAAGTTATCATTTAATTCTTTTGTCAACATCAGCACAGTTAGAAATTAAGAAGCCTGTTCAATAAACAGGTTACTTGAATTCCAGTCACCAAACATCAATTTCTTCCCTATCCATCCCTGCTATGCTCACTCAGGCTATGTCCTACACCCCCTTCCTAACATACACTTGGGGTTTTCTTGATATTTTCTCTCCCTTACTGAAAGTCAAATACAATTAGTATATTAATTACATTAACGATAACTAGGTCTGTAATCAAGAACAAATTAACTAAAAAAGGGAAAAAAATTAGTCACTCAGAAAAAAATTCTAAAACCTCAACACAGACTTCTATGGGACATAGCACTTAATATTTTTAACAGACCTCTAATACAGTCTACTGAACAGTTTTGCCGGGGAAGTTTTTCACATTACAATTACTCCTAATGAGATCACCCTCTGCAGTGTTTAAGACTTCATCCCTTCCCAACAGAACAATGAAAGATTTGTGTGGAGTTACAAAGCCCTGAGATCAACTCCACTCACTTCACCTTCTACTGAATTTCCTTATAGAAACTCGTCAAAAGCAGAACTGTGTTTTTTCATGTGGAAAGCTATTATTAAAGAGACTCGTTTACTTTTTTTAGGACATCACAAATCCTCTACAGTTTTTGAAGTCCTCATCAGACTAAGGCACCTCAGACTCAATGAGTGCTACCAGCTTTGTTTTTGAGATTATGTACATTTCTCCTCTTCATAGATTTGTGGGGGTTTTTCCACTTTTCCACTTACAATATTTCTCATCAACAAATGTCTGCCTACATCACAATAAACATATGGTGATATAGAACTTCTTATGTTATCTTGTGATAAAAAATGATAGACCTTGTATTAAGTATACATTAAAATACCTGTCTCCAAACAAACTGCAGATTCTCTTGTTCTTACTGGAAGCAAAGACAATAAAATATTCTTTCTCATGCTAAGCAGAAATGTCTTATGCCTGTAGTCCCAGTGACAGCAATGCTTAGGGTAAGTATAATTCTAAGAACATGGTTAACTGAATTAGTCTTGAATCAGGAAGTGCAACTCAGTAGCCTCTGATCTTCTAGTATTTTAAAATAATCACAATGATTCAATTGCAAGCCAAAAGTTTAGAGTTAGGTTTGTGCAAAAAAAAAAAATTATAGAAAGGACATTATATTTATTCTGAAAATTTGATACTCTGAAATACTTGTCTTACATTTTGAGGTTTTACACTTGTTACAAATCTCTAGTTCGGTTTGATTTTGTGTGTATTTTCCCCATTACTAACCACACCCATTCTGTTTACTACATCCATTTTAGCTTTCTTATAATTATGTCAGAGATCATGTGAAAGAACAAACTGTTTACCTACTCATACCTGACATTATTGCTACAATGTTCTGTGATAGGTATGACTTACTCAGCCTTACCAAAAGATGCAAGAAACAGTCTATAATTTTAGTCCTGAACCCATCTTTATACTTACGACTTCAACCTTTTCTTTAAATTCAAGACAGCATTGAGCAACCACTGATTTTCATAATCAGACAGACAGACTGATTTAGATTAACCAATATGAACTTCAGATTCAGTGTGAACTACAGACTGAGGATCTGAAAACTTTAAAAGCAGACTGATGATGCATTTCTCTTAAAAAAAAAAAAACCAAAAATCTAGTAGAACATGACCTACAATTTACAGTAAGTACAGTTTACTTACGTTCGCACGTGTCTCCTTTCTGCTGGTATCCTGCTTTGCAGATACATTTTCCAATAGGCACTAACCATTCTCCCTCCGCGCTACAGTGCATCTTCGGCGAGTTCTCCGCCTCCTCCTCCGCACTGCTGACACAAGTTCCTCGCACTTCAACTAAAGAGGAAAACTCTGAGCCAGTCACTGTGTCAGGAAAAATAGCTAAGTTCTCAATGATGGACCAGCACTTCTTGTAGTAGACTTTGACAGAGACCAAAGCAATGCAGGCCCCTACGTCCTGAAACGCAAGATAGAATCCTTTTTTGGACAAAGGTCCAATTTCTCTCACCTCTGTGTTAAGTTTCATTTTTCTCTCCCCAAGATCACCCTGGGTAAAGCTTTCATCTGCTGCAATAGTGTCTATTTTTACATATTGGTTTTCTCGGATATTCCTGCCAGTGTCGTAGTCTGTTTCATAATAATACAAGTTAAAGGTTTCTTTACAAGTCCCCAGAACTCCAGGAAGACTGTTACAATCCCTCAGAGTGAATTTCAGTTCTACAAAAATCCTTTGTGCATTGCTTTTTGCAATCCAGTTAGTCCGAAGCCAGTTGTTTTGGTTTGATTCCATCACCTGGCATACCTGGTATGTTCGTATAGGAGTGTAGTTTTCATCCAGTCCACTAATTTCTTCCCACTAAAATGATAACAAACAGTTAGTAATAAACAAGAAGTATGTCACCAGATGTAACTACTGAGTTCTTAAAAAAACTTCACACAACTCACATTTCCCTTCTTTTTAACAGTAAGTTGTTAAAAATACTGTTAAGCATCTAAAAGAAGAAAGTATATATCAATGCAGGAGCAGGTTCTCTCTCTCCCTTCATGTCTTTCCCACATACAACTTCTAAAAATCATTGTCATATCATGGGCACAGTTGCAAAGGGGCAGCCTCAGAAAAGGATGTTTAGCATACCAGGTTCTGATTTCACCCTAAACTCACACACATTTCTTTAATGTCACAATGGTTTTGAGTGAGCAAAGACCAAAAGGAGGGAGGCAGCTTCTCTTCCAAAGAAACCTAAGGTCATTGAAGTCTTAGAAACTCAAATTGCTTAGCATTAAAGTACATAAAACTTTTGCATGTAAAACTTCCAATGAAACTTGCAGTTGTATAGAAAGCATGGGATCAGGTCCTGAAACTCTTGAGATGATTCCCACCCCTATGTGATCGAAATGGCATAGAGAGAGGGCAAGAGAAAACTGACAGAATTAAAAATCTGAAAGCAAGAAAACATTTTAGTTGTCTCCCTTTCTTTTTTGTCTACCCTCTGTTTCATTTACAAACTGAAAGGGTAAGTAGCAGTTTCTCCCCACCTCTCCTTTTGTCCAGTGGCTGCACCCATATTAGAAGGGGCAAACTTCATTTAGCTGGAAATTCAAATGAACCACGAGAGTACATACAGAATTAAAAACAACCCATATGACTGAAAGCTCTCTGGTTCAAAGCCCGAGTTTGTTGATTCTCTCTCTTTAGGTTACCAACTGTGTAATGAGCTGGTAAGCCTTTAACAATCCCGGAGTCTTTAACAGCCTTTGGTAGCGTGGGAATTTGCACCTCCAGCAATGGCAAACCTGCCAGATCTGCCCAGGTGTAACTAAAACAATCCTTGTATCTCACCTTTTTTCAAATTTCTTGTAACATTTCAGTGCCTGAAGAAAGTGCAGCTGTAGTAAATTAGAGGAGGGGGTTGAACTATCGTCACCCCAGGATACAGGCAACCATGACTTCTCTGGATGGCACTCAGCCCTCTGGCCCTGTGTCAATAATGCACTTAAGCTCATGCTTAAGATCAGTGACTGTACTTATGAGCTTAATGGTAAGCACATGCTTAAGTGCTTTGTAGGACTCGTATAGTCGGCACCTCTACAGGATGGAGCATCCACTGACATTCCTCATGCTGGCAACCAAGCATGGAAGGCACTGGTTTCCCAGATCAGGAGTCACACAGTGTACACTACTCTGCAAGCCTATTTGACAGCAAATGAGACCATTTTAATGTTGTTGTCTGTTTCAGGAAAAAACAGATGTGGCTGAATTGATGCTGGAAGTTATCACCACAAAATATATCACAGCTGCAGATGCCGAAATGCACAGAAGTTGTAAATATCAAAGTGCATTTCAAGGACCTACAGTTAATATAGATGAGATATATACAGTATTATATATTATATGCAGATGGTATTAAATGATTGAAATAGATTATTAAATGCTCATGGAGTTAACTGAAGTGATTGCATATGGAACAGTATTAACCTCTGAACAAAAGAATGTCTATCTTCATAACAGATTTATTAGAGTCAAATGAGTAATATTTTTTTCACCTCTACAAGAACTAGAAAAAACAAGAAAAAGAAAAAAGTGGCCCTTGACTGAGAGGGTTTTGGCTATAGCATGATAATAAAAAACTTCTCCCCAATTAAAAAAAAAAAAAAAAAAATCCCATCAAAATGACAAAAAAGGCATAAAGCATAAAATTTTGCCAGGTAATGCTATGTCCTTTGGCATTCCTTTGAGATGGTTTGGGTTTGGGTTTTTTTTGGTTTTGTTTTATATTTTATCTTGTGTAAGCATTCTTCTCTTAAGACACCAAACAAGATTCTGAAAGAAGATATTTAGTAAGACAATGCATTCCATCTTTGACATGAAAGTAACTCTCCTGCACCACACAACAGAATCAGTCTTCTTGAGTTTTGATGTGGATTGCTCCATCAAAACAAATCACCATTCCTCCTCAAAAAAAACAAACAAACTGAAACGAACAAAAACAAGCAACAAAACAAAATACATTTTACAAAATCAGCTTACTCTTCATAATACAACACAAATGAGATTTCTCAGAGTCAAAATCCCACTACATGAAACTAGCTAGCATCAAAGAAATTCTTATGTTACAGTCAAGGAAAATAATACAGGAAAACTAAATTCACACAAAAAGCACTCCTTTTTGTCATCCCTAGCATTAAGCAGGGGAGCTATTTTTCCGTATTTTGACAAAGCCAAAAATTACGGAAATGTGGTTGATGATACAATTATGTAATTAGAGTGTCTGCAAGGAAAAAAAAATATATCAGTACTTCAAGATGTTTCCACCTATGGCAGCTGAGGTTACCATTGATTGAGGTTTTCTTATAGTGAACCATTTCACAGAAAGAAAACTCCACTTTTCTTTGTCCTACTGCAAAACATGGTGCTATACATGCAAATCTGTTTGAATATGCCTTGTTCTATTGGTTTTACTTTGTGGTATTTTAACTTCTTCGTTATCTTAACCACATTAAATGTAGCATTTGCAGTTGAATGAGGCATTTAATGAGTGTCTAACTGATATAGTCTCTACTGTGATGATGCAGTAGTTTCTCTCAAAATTTTGTGTTCATTCCCATGAAGTCTTTATTGCATAGTAAATAATTCTGTAATTAAAATTAGAAAAACATTTCTTTTCAAAATTACATTATTAAAATGGTACTTCTATGTTAATTTACAGACAACTTTTTCTGAACACTTTCACACATACAAATCTAGCCATTAGTTTTGATTCACTTTTAATTTATGATTGAAATTCACTTCTACCTCTGAAACTCGCTTTTCACTATTTATTCAATTGGACTCTACTTTCATCTTTCAGTATGCTGATGTGCAACATGTGTTGACATATCTTTCATTATCTACAGGTTAGCTTAATATAAATGCCACCAAACTAATCTTTCAAACACCTCTGGTAAAGGCTTCCATCAGCACAAAACACTAATGCTGAGGTTATTGGCCATCATACACATTGAGCCCGCATTACATTCCCTCTGCAGTCCTTAGATTTAGTTTCCAGTTTATGCTTGTATTGATACTACAATCTTGCTTTTAAAGAAAGACACTTGCACATTTTCATTCTTCTTACTTAAAGGATTTGTTACACTTTTATATCCCTACTCACACTTCACACTCTTCTGGCTCCAGATTTCTTAATGAACTGAAGATTAAGGGACTGATCCCCCCAAGTTCTTGCAAAGTTCATGCAAGGGGTCACAATAGATTCAGCAAGACTGTTTCCATGAGCAAGAACTGTCCATGTAATTTATGATTTGTCAGACTAAGTTCATGTAGGACTGAGTTAAAATAGGACAATATATCCATTATATTTCTCTGAAAATGTTCTTCCTCAAGGCTTGAGGAAGAAGAGGTTTTATAGCACTTTTAATTCAGACTGAAAACAGCATTTCCCAACTTTACATATATAATAAGACAATAACACTGATGTTTCTAAACATCTCATTTTAATAATGATGTAATTTACAATGGTACATTTCATAGAATGCCAAGAGATTAATTTGTATGCAAGCTGGAGGTGGCCTTAACCACATAATTCGTGCCTAGTTCCAGATATCAAGTTCCTCAAGGCTTGGGGATGTTTCAAGTTTGGAATGTCATTTCAAACACATCTGCAATATAAATGTTTTTATTTTAGAGCACTTCAATCTGTGCTATTCAATTACAAAGAAAACATTGTAAACAAATTTATGATCACCCATTCTACAGAAAATGAAAAACATATTTTTAGAAAGTCTCCACACAGAAGCAGATCTGTTGTTTCTAAAGGAAGAAAAAAAAAAGGGATTTAAAATACTGTGTTATAAATATACAGTGTAATCCTTTGTATAGCACAAAGAAATACATTACAAAACATAAAAGTAACAAAAGTTTCCTAAGAGCCACTTGCTTTTAATTGGCTTGTACATTTGTACACTGTAATATAAGGTTTCATTCTAAAAATGAAGAAGCCATAAACACTTGGTATGATTACTGAGAGAAATATGAGGGTGAACTAGCTTAAAGCAGGTCTTTCAACTGCTTTGATAAACTAACTACTCATCTTCAGGAACTTAAGTTTTGCCTGCAGTACTTACCCCATTGGGAGGAGAGGAAATCCATTCCAACTCTGTCTGTTGTGCTTTAGAGTCCAGCAGTATTACTAAAAAAAAAAAAGAAATTCCACAGCTTGTTAAAAATAACAAAGGGGGATTTAAAACTAAGGAACAAAATATGAATTTTAAAAAGTGATAGAATTAATATAATTTTTGTACAGATTAACATGTCTTCTTCATATTATTAAAAAAATTATCTGCAATCACAACTAGCCATTTATTTGTAAACAGACAAATAATTATGTACTATTCACCTATAAGCAGATATACATATCTGCTTATACATTAGCGTAAATACATAAATCTTTACAATTTCATTGCTTAAAACAAAGTGAGTGGTTTTTAGCTCTCTGAAGTGCTATTAATCAGTCATTAAGATGCATGCTCCCTCCCTCTCCTTTTTCATAAGGACATTTTCCATATGCTGGTCATTACAATCAGCTTAAAGCACACAGATATTTCAACACGTTTCCAAACTGATTTATACAAGACTGGTCTATACCTCGCTGAGAGTCGCATTGAAAAAGCAATGAATTTTTGAGTGTCAAAGTGAAAAATACTTCCCTTTGGTGATAAAGCAATAATTCTGCAAATAAATGACAACCAGGAATACAGAAAAAAAAAAAGACTCTGCAATTACCTCACACCTTGTATGCACAAAATCAGACTAATTCACTTTATGGTAACAGCTTCCTAAAATCTTCACATCGTGGTGACATTTATATACAGAAAGACATCAGTTCTAGCAGCACCACAATTATTTTCAGCTAAATGTAACACTGCCTGCAAAAGTGGTTAATCACAGCCTAATAAACCAACTCTTTAGTAGCATTCATAATTTGAACCTATTACACATATGTTTAGCTATAAAGCTATTTATAACTTTATACACAGAATTTCTGTACTGTCTAAGACATTTAAATGGGACTTAAGGCTGTAACTTGAAGAAACTTCTGTCAGTTCTAACAAAACAGTTTTAATTCTAGCTTTGGCCCTTTCTCCGAGGAAAATTTAACACAAAATTTCAGTGAATTACTAAAAAGATGCTTAAAAAATTATACAGTAATACATGGAATGTTAGCTGAACACAAAACGGTAGCTTCCAGGCCTGTATTTCAGTAATGAAGTGGAACTACTCATTAAGGAAGTTTGATAGTCTCCCTCTAGAAAGATTACCTGCTTATGTCATTAAGGCTGGATTCAAGGGGCTTTACTTTGTAACACTTTCTATAGAAAAGCAGGTGGTGTATGCGGCGGCTTGTTAAACAAGAACATTTATAATGGTCCTGGAAAAAAAGGTACCACCAAAAATTTAACCGTTTCAGCACCAGCACACTACAGCTGCAATTCATTATGCTTTTTATTTGGCAGTAATTCTCCATCACGTAGCAACGGGTAAGCACATCAGAGAAGAATAAAGATAACAAGAAAACAAAACAAACAAAAAGAAAACCCACAAAGAAACAAACAAACAAAAAAAGAAAACCCAACACAGAAACCTGCAAACAACCCTTTCAAAGAAATCGTGGCGTTCCTTCTGGCATCCAAAGTTACCGGGGAAGAGCTTTCCAAGCCAGCGGCTGCTGCCCTGCTCCCCGCGGGGGGAGACCCGTGGCTGTCACGGCTCGTTCAGCAACGCGGGGAAGTGTTGCGGGGGAACGGCGCCGCGCCCCGCGCCCCCGCCGGCAGCCGCAGGGGGTCCGCAGCCTCCCGCGCCGGGAGCGCACCGGGGATCCAGCGCGACCCCTCCGCGGGGGAGCGGCGGAGCGCCAAAGGAGGCGGAGAGGCGGCGGGCGAAGCGCGGGGGCGCGGCCGCGGGGAATGGGCTCCGCGGCGCTCCGCGCAGGCGGCGAGCAGCGGCCCCTCGCCTCCGCGGGGAGCCGCGGTCGCGCTCCGGGCACTGCGCGGAGCTGCGCGCAGGCGGACGCGCCCCCGCGCCGAAAAGCGGGGCTTGGCGGCCGAGCTGCGGCGGAGCGCCGGTCCCGCGGCCGCTCCCGCCACACCCCCGACAGCCGCGGCGTCGGGAGGAAGCGCCCGGGACAGCGGCCCCAGAACGGAGCCCCGAGCTCTCGCAGCCACGGAGAGAAGGATGGTCCGCTCCTCGTGTCTGCGCTGAACCCGAGGGTGCTGGCCGCTGGCTACGCAGGTTACGCGGTCTTTTTCTGGCTTAGAGAGAGAGAGACCCTGCCTCGTTCCCCTCCAGCATCTCACTGCGGCTTCTACTGAGCTACGGAAAGAAAAACTCGGAAAACTTTTCAGCCTTTTACCCCTCCCATCCCTTTTCCGTACCCAGCGGGGAGGGGTAGGAAACCACGCGGGGCTGCTGCCGCCACCGGCCCTTCGGCGGGGCCGGCGGTGAAGCTGTAAAGTTACTTTTTTGTTGGTGTTTTTCTTTTTTTTTTTAACTCGCTCTTTCTTCCGCCAGAGTTTTCTGCGCTTGCAGCAGGTAGCCGCTATCAATCCCTGTCTGCCGCTCGCCCCCTCCTGACCCTCCTTTGGCTAGGTGATTTCCCCCAAATATACAGACATTATACACGCACACTCATAGGTATAGATGCATGTATAACCACCCACGTATAACACAGAAAAAATCGGGATAGGCTACCACTGGGAAGCATTGGCGTAGCTCCGATCACGGAGCAATCCGTAGGACAGAGCGGGGCAGGCAGTCCGCACCCTCCCCGGCCCTTCTCCTCTCCCCACCCCACGGCTACGGGTTAGTGCTCCTCGCGGGAGGGTTCCTGTGCTTTACAGCCCCTCCAAATAAACTTTCGAAATGCTGCTGCGGAAAAGCTCCTTCTTCTTCCCCTCTCTAATCTCGCCATCGATTTCGTCTTTTAAGGGCAGAGTACATTTTAATTGAGGCATTTTTTAAAGCTCCAAATGATATTTTATTGCATGCCAGAGGTTTGATGAAAAATAATGACGCATCCATCTGAAGAGAGGGGGAACCCCAAACGCATACATATGCAGAGGCACCGAAAATGCCCTGCCTCCCCCTTCCCATGTCATGTCGTGTGTGTCTTCGTCCCCCCCCCCCCCCCCCCCTTCGAAAATGGAGATGGACCTTCGCCTTCGGCTGTCAAGCCCAAACAGGGCACTCCTTTAAATCGTTTCGGATTTTCTCAGCGTGAAAAAAGAGGTTCCCAGATGGGCTTTGTGAATTGATTTTAAACACCTCCATCAGTCTCTGATACAAAACTGCCTGATTTATCTCCGTGCGCGGGGGAAACAAATGTGCGGGGTGCGCCTTACACAGACACCAGTATTGGACTGATGAGAACGGGGAAGCTCCGCTGTGCTACGCAGATGGTGTAAAACCCCTAAACCTCTCCCCAGCGATACCAGGGGACAGCACACACATTACAGGCACACGACGCCGGGCCGTATGTATCCTCTAAATACATGTCCAGCCTGCACGGCTGGGACGTGCAAAACTGCATCCCGATGCTCCTTCCCGCGGTCTGTGCCAGCCCCGCTGGGCCGGAGCGCTGCAGGCCCCCGCTGGGGAGCGGCGGGGAGCGCCCCGCAGCCCCAGCCTAGCGCTCTGCCTTGCCTCCCACCAAGCGTCCCGAGCCCTCAAACTCGGCCCTCAGCCCCTGCCCAGAGAGCAGCGAGGTAACCCGCCCTCCCTGCACCTCCTCGGGAGGATCAGGGCTGGCACGGGAGAGCGACGCTCCCCGGCACGGATACCCGGGCCGGGGGCTCTCCCAGCCCCATTCCTCCTCATCACGTGCGAATGCCTCACAAATCTCATTCCTGGGAGCAAAGGCAGTTGTCCCGGTCCCTCATACATACACACAGTGAATGCCCTGCTTTTTCCTCCCTCCCATCTCAACTAAAAAGTCTTTTCAATTGTTTTTTTTTTTTTTTTTTTCCTGAGAGGGGGGCTGATAAGCAGCTGGCAGGGGCAGGAAGGTCCCCTACTAAACCAGCAAACAGACTTCGTGGGCAAAAGCAATAAATAAGCTCAAACTTTGTTTTCCGCATCACCTTACCTTCTTTTGCAGCCTGTGCCTCCCCCGTGTGTGCAAAGCGGAACAGCCAGACGGAGCACAAAATAATCCAAGAAGGGAGCCTACTTTGGAAAGCCATGGTGCAGGAGCGGGGTGATTTTATATTTCTAGCTCTCTATTCCTAGACACTGCCACTGCCGCCGCTTGGTGGGTGCTAGAGGACGGTGGAGAATTTGCTGTGCTAGTCTGTGGCTCGGCGCTCCCTCCCTCCAGGCTGCCTTTCTCTTTCGCCTCCTTCGCCTCCGCCTCCGCGCCGCTGCCCGGCTCCCGCACCGGGCCGGCCGCCCGCCAGCCCCGACTGCAGCCCGGCCGCCCGCGCCGCGCGCCGATAATATCAATGAGGGCAAGGGGGCGGGGCCTCGGCGGTGGAGCGGCCCGTCCCTCAACGTGACTGACAGCGCCTCCTGACCAATCAACAGCAGCTATCGGCGGCCGGCGGGCCGAGCCGCCCCCTGAGTCGCCGCGGCCAGGGGGGCGGGGCCGGCGGCGCTGGCCAATGAGCGCGCGGCGGTGTCGGGTGTCTGTCGGTGCCGGGAGCTGCGGGCTGCGCGCGGGGCGCAGCGCCGGGACGGAGCGGCTGAGCCGCGCACGGGGCGCCCAGCCCGGGCGGCTCCCGGCGCCGTCCCGCACGCCTGGAGGCGGCTGTCTGGATCGTCCTGCGAGCGACGGGACGTCCGTGCCTCCCTCCCCCAGGGTTCCCTGTGGTCTCCTCGTGTCGCAGTCACCGGGGTACTGAGAGAGAGGGGTCCCGGCCAGGGTCCGGCCTCTGCCCGAAGCCGAGCAGCCGCCGGCGGGTCCCCGAGCTGCCCCCGCGCGGTGCCTGCCCGTGGCCGGGCTGAGCGCGCACCTGAGTCGATGCTACCGAAAGGGAAACTTCGGCAGAAGCTGCGGGATGGTTCCCCGAGAGAGCCCTGCCACAACAGCCAAGTTCCTCGGGGCTGACATCACTTGGGATTCCTTCCCTCTGTTGCTTTCGTGTTTTCCGCCCCGCGTTTCTGGTTTGCCCCAAATATGAAGAGCAGGTTAATGGCAATATAGGTATTATGTGGGGAGGGGAAGGAGCGGCTGCTTCCCCCCTGCCCTCTCCGGGTGTAACCTGAAGCGCGTGTAATCCTCTAACAATGAGACAATTTAAATAGGAGGGGGAGGGAAAAAAAGTGAAACCCGAGGGAGAGAGGAACTTGCCAGATCTCTCTTGCCAGCGCTCATCCTGCGGACCGGGAAGGCTTTTGCCGGGGATCCATCACGCCCCCACCTCTCCGCTTTCCTTTCTCCAAAACCACCCCTCGCTCTTTCGGAGTGAAACAGCTGCAGGAAGGACACACAAACTTACCGCTCCCCGAATGAGCGGAGCGTGGTGCGCGGGCACGGTGGCTCGGTGCGAGCGCTCCTCTCCCGGGCCGCGCCGGGGCCGGGGCCGCGCAGCCCCCGCGGCCAGAGGCGGCGGCCCCGGCTGCGGTCCCCGCTCCGTGCCCCTGCTCGGCCCCTGCCTCCTCCACCTCTGTCCCGCTCAACCTTCCCGGGGCCGATGCCGAGCGGCATGGACCGGGTTTTGTACTGCTCGGCTAAAAGTGCGTTGTCGTGTCCTTTCGAAGGATAGATACTGCGATGTAAACAGAATAAGTGACTATCGTCTTTCGGAAGCAAGCAAAGGCAGCGAAGAGCGAGAGGTGTAATTGCAATTCAGTGGCAAGATTGTGCGAGAATCTGAAACGCCTTGCACAGATGCGGATCCTGATATAGAAAATGTTATGCCATAAATGGGAATTTAAACTGGGAGGAGGTTTGTTTGTGTAACCTTTAGGTAGATAAGACAAAATTAGAATTACTACAACTAATAATAACATTATTGTAATCCTCAGCATTGACGGATAAACAGCCACCATACTCCAGCCTTTGAGCACTTTCCCTGTGGGCTCCTTGTGACTTCCAAGAAGGGTGTAGAGAGATGCTCCAAAATGCACTGTATTTCTTTCACTTGCTGAATAATTGATATGGCTTAGACTATGACAGTTTTTATCTTTCATTCAGAATGCTCTGTTGATACCATGATACCATGATAAGTGTAGGCATAGTGCAGACTCTTGGTTTTCTCATCCTCTGCCGTCTGTCATACCCATCCTCATGCATGTGTACTTAGAAAGGGGAGCTGTGCAAAACAGTGAGTAGGCTTATCTTCTTTTTAAAAGGCTGTTTTAAATACACGCAGGGATTTTGTGACTTCTTGGCAAATTTTCACAGGTGAAGTTAGTTTTCCTGTTGCATATATTGTAACAGTGATTAACAAAGATGTAGGAAGTCTTCAACCTAGTTAGTCCTCCACAGTTTACTAGCATGAAGTGCTAGCATTTATTATGTCACTAAGCCAAGAAGACAATTTTTACCCCAAAGAATGTACTAAAAAAATTGCATTGAGGTTTTGAATGACTGTGTTTATAAAAATGTAGAAACTTGCTAAATGGAAATATTTACTGGAGAAAGGCTTAAATGTTAATAAGGTGTGTTCCTGTCCTGCATATAGTATTAGGCCAGACACTTATTTTTAAAATCACCTGCATTTATACAGATTATTCTGTACTATATTATACAATCTAATATTGTATGTGTATGATATATGTGTCAGATCATACACATATACAAGGATTCTCAATTATGTAAATATATTAACCACACAAAGGATGTGTGTGTACATGAGTGAAATGTAGAGTGAAATTAAATAAAAGATTTTAAAAGAAGTGTATATTCTTCTTCTTGATCAACTCATTTTAAATGTCCTATCTTCCTGATAGTTGTAAATGAAGATAAATATGACATAGTATATGTACTGATTTGTTAGAACATTCATGGTTGTATTCACTGTTACACCAAAACATTCGATATACATCGAGACTGTCTATTACTGTTGGGGGTGCTTTTTTGTGGTTCTCTCACACTAAATCTTCATGAAATTGATGGAGAATTTGAAATCTTTTTTAATGAATTTGATTATTCAATTTTCTCTGTTTATTTGTAGTGTTTTCTAATACTTCATTTTATTCTGTAGGATACACATCCTTTATTGCATTTTGTCCAGCTGTGTTAGATCTTCTGCAAAGAAAAACAGAAAAGAGATATAATACAACTAAACAAAAATATTCACGCTAAATGGAGTACAATCCTTAGATTTGGTAACAAAACCTCTGAGAGAAGAAAGAAGAAAAATAGTGGGGAAAAAAGGAATTGGGTATTTCGTTCAGTGTGTTACTATTCAGGTACCACCAAAAGAAATGGTTAATGGGAAAAGAACAATGTCATCTCTTTATTCTGTTCTGTATTTTTTTTCCTGTAGGCCAGATTCTGTCTTTTATTTTTACTTGTAGTTAAAATTATTTTCTTTACATTACCAAGCTTACCTATGCTGCTACTAACTTTATGCCAGCTGAGCTTCTCTATGCTGAATTGCAAAGCTCTAACCAGACTTTGGAAAAATACTTAAATAATTTCCTCCTCCTTAAAGTTGACTTTCTTCACCAAAATGCGATCTGAAATTGTGGCACAAGAAATATAGGATGAATTCTAGGGCTACACAAGCATATGTAAGGAAATGAGCATAATTTGAAAGTTGTTACAAAGGTCTGCTTTCACCAATTTTCTTCTTGCAGTATTCATTCTTTCCTTCCGACTTTGTGCAGGGCTGAAGTGAAATTTCAATACTTTCAGAAAGCTGTTGAAGGTTAGCCTCAGACACCATTTCTGTAAATCATGCCGAGTCTCTGTTTTACAGTAGCAAAAGAAGAAATTACTTTTAAGTAATAAAAGAAGGTCTTCTAAACTGAATGTTTGGTCTTAATCTAAGCAATCCCTGAAATGTTTTTATCCATGCACAAGTATTTCTATTAAATACACAGTACACATTTTTGTGCAACTTTTGTCAATTTTTTGTATACTTTTTAATATAAAATTCAGTGTCTTTGTGACACTTCACTTGTAAGTCATGTATGTATAATAAATCATTGTATCAGACTTTGCATTTAGTTTTACAGACCTAATGGCACTTACATTCTAAATCTGGACCAGAGATGGATTTTCCATACACTGTCAATTTCAGATAATCTGGTAGATTTATAAATCAGAATAGCTCTATTATAGTAAAGAAGGCAATGTATTAAATAAATATTATTGGTTCATAGAGAAATTGTAGAGAATCAGAAATGGCTTGTTTGAAAAGCATACTCATATAAAAAGTTCTTTTTCTAGTTAAAATGCCAGTTTGGTTTTGGGTTTTAAAAAATTATTTTAGTTAACACTAATCAAAAATAGTGCCGCAAAACTTCACACTTTAAAGTCTTTATTTATATCAGAATGGTAATAAAAATTCACTGTCAAATTTTCTCTTGGGAGATTTAAAGATACTGTATACTGTGCTAAATAGATACATAGCTCATGTTTTCCAAATCTATACATTTTCAATACACTTTGAGAGATACTACAGAAATAGAGATAGGATGGTGTGTCATCTTGCCATTTAATGGAAATGAAATGCATTCTATAGAACAGCACAATTAAAGTCATATTAAACATACAGTGAACAAAAAAAGCCTTTGCCTTTCCTGAGGAACAAGAGCAGAATTGTAGAGGGTCCAAAAGTATGCTGTATTTGGGTCCTGTGAGAGTGCTTCTCCTGATAAACCTGAATTTGGAAACTGCTTTACTGAGGAACAAGAGCCTTTGGAGAAGATACTGTCTCTTTGTTGATCATTCTTCAGAATCTGTAAGTATATCACATTGTGCTGCAGTCCTTCCCCTGGGAAACCTGAGCAGGACAAGCCAGTGCCATCATCCTGTGATAACATCTGGAGATATTCTGAAAGGAGATAATTTGCCTTTCTCACCTATGAATTAAAGGAGTGTCTTTGTGTCCAGATGCAACAGCAAGTATCCACACATATAAGCTCCTTGTTGACCTCAATTCTTTGTAAGATCTAAAGCTTCAATTTTTCCTGGGATGTTTGTCATACTAAATATTGTGCACAGAAGAGCCTGACCATAAGGGCAGCTAATTTGTATTTTAGTTAATTACTTGTAAGTGACAGATAAACTCTAGCAATATGCTCCAGTGAGGTTAGTATCTTCCTGTTCTTATTCAGCACAAGTGACATATGATCACTTCCATCTGTGACAGTCCTAGATTCTTCTTTCAGCCCAGCTGAGGTGAAAAATCAGACCCAGTAGATTTCCTGTTTCCATATATTACCTCCTCATACAATCAGTCTCAATCTCTCAGTTTCCTTCTGTGAAAGAGCATGAAAGCATCTCTTTTCTCAATCTTCCTTCTG